CAAAGTATCATCATTCCATGTACTACATCTTCACTTATATGTTGTTTTAGAAACCCACCTACTGCTTTCATGACGAGAGTTCTTGTCGAATCATCAAAGGGGAATCGCGTCACAAAGTTCAGCGACATATGTAGCCTTGCCAAACCAAGGACTTCGATTCGCAAGAATACTTTCACAGCTATATCTGAAATTGATCAAGCATTCATTCATTCAGGCATGGTATAGCCTGTGTATGTACGTAATTTCTGTTTGAAGGTTTTGAATTTTGCAAAGGGAATCTCTGCCTGAGATTGACAAGCAGAAGGGACTAGCAATCCGAAAATCGTCGTTTACACATCTGCGCGGAGGAAATGCCCACCAGTAATCAGGTAGTCAAAGTGGTTCGGCTTCGTCGCTGATTGACCTTTGCGCAAACCCAGAGAATTGTTTCCTTTTCATCACGAAGGGCCCCAGAGCTGTCGATCGCTACCACTCGCGTATGTAGACCGTCCATACGTGAAACACGCGATGCATGATTTCGAAGTTGTTGAAGGTGACCATGATTCATTTCCAGAAAAGGAAGAGCATGTGATATAACATACATCTTTTATTCTTGTTGCAATCGCCTTTCATGATGAAACCTCTCTTCTCGTTGGACCGTTCGGAAAATTCCATAGTGCTGACATATCCTTCGAGTTATGTGTCATTCAGGATATGATTTACCGTCAAATAATCTACTTCATTTTGTTCAGACTACACTCAGGGTAAGAGGAAACAAAGAACGTGTATCAGGCAATCACCAGTGATGACCTGTCTTCACTTTCAGTACGCGATTTATCATTTTGGGGTGTGGTCTGGAGATCAAAAGCGAATGAGCCATATCTGTCAGTCACATCAAAAACTATGACTGCCTGGTCACATCAGACGGGGCAAATATTTCCGACGGAGGGAGATGAGAGATAAACCGATAGGACAGACAAAATATCAAGAATCCTCAATTCATGTCACTCCGGAGACTTATCCATCCTGCATGGTCATCGGCCATCTACCTGATTAGCGGTCCATTATTCTTCACGACTTCTTGACCGCTCTCTCCTGTCTAATTTCAGGAGAATGTCTAATGGGGAGTGGTTGGGATATTTAAATTATTATTCAGACGATGCCCAACTCATGTTTCCTGAGTCTCTTGCCTTTTACAACGTTATACCAACCCAGTGTCCTTCCTTCTAAACCAATCATTTTACTAGCGTGTTCCTTTAAGGCTGCAGCTTGCTTGGTGTAAATCTTTTCAAAGCAGCAGCATGGTGAACAAATCTAAGCTTGCTATTCTGAACTGGGTGTTTCCTTTTCTTTTCAATTTACCAAACTTCATTCAGACATTGAGCGTATCAGAAAAGATTACTCACGACAGGCGGATTCCCAATGCTTTGTGGAAACGGACAGACCATCTCCTACAATCTCAAAAAGAGAAAACTGTCTTGCGTTTTCGCTTCGGCCTCAAACAGTCCAACATTGATAACTTATACGACGAGTTAATGAGAGTTTCTTCTCCAGAGTCACCACACTACGCCGATCATTGGGATTCAGACAAGGTTTCGCGTTTCTTTTCTCCCTCAAACGAAACCATCGGCGAAGTGTTGAAGTGGCTGAAGAAAGAAGACAAAGGGTTCAAAAAGGTCGAGCTGAGCAGAAGCCGGGCCTGGGTTCACGTCCACATGAGTATTGACCAAGCTGAAAAACTTTTGGACACCAAGTTTTATAAATACATCCATACGGACGACCACACCACTCATTTAGGTAGAGTCATGAAAACACAGCATTTTTCTAATCTTAGCTTTTGTGTCCTCTAATCAATGACTGAATGGACGGTTCTCTTACTTTTTGCACGTGTTTTTTTCCAGCCTGCGAGCAATATAAGATACCGGGTCATCTTTCTTCACACATCGACATTGTCCTTCCTAGTGTACATTTTGATACAGTGCCAGTCACGAACAAGTACAGCTCTATGAATGATAATCAAGCTTCGAACTCCCTTCAGAATGACAGGAAGATGAGCCAATCATGGCCCACAGGTGATTTTGGGGGCGCGCCAGCTATTAGCCCAGTCTCAGGTGCAGCAAGACATGTTGGATATCCCAATAGTGGTAACATTCCTAAGCACTCGACCATTTTAAATCACCATCAACTTGAGAGAGTTCGTCGCGGAGTTTCTAACTGCGGGAATGTTATAACCCTAGACTGTCTGAAGTAAGATGCCATCAACTATCTTCTCAATCGATGTAATGACATGATTCAGGCTCGAGGTGACCGAAGTTGAGTATTGATTGTGCTGATCTGAGTGAAGTTTCTCTCGAATTTCTTAGAGCTCTGTACAAGTTTGGACGTTATAAAATCAAACACCCACAAAATAACAGCTTGGCTATAGGTCAGTGATACCACCGAATGAGCCTGTTAAGAGCATACTTTACTGACACAACAATTCTTCATCTTTCTGACGTGCGTACCTCCATATCTGGTCATCGTGTAGTCGAATTTACCCCTCAATCGGTCCTTTACAGCGACCTAGATCATTTCTTCTCAGTTGAGTCAAGGTAATTTATCACAAATCACAAAAAAATTCGTTCTGATTCCTTCATTTATGGACTGTAGAACTTCTCTCCCCAAGCCAAAGGTTCACGTCCAAGCTTGGTACCTATCGACGGTGGTAAGGACACTGGTGTCCCTTGGTCTTTCTGGACTCAGAGTTTTCGATACTGATTCGCTTCATATTGATAGGAATTGTGGATCAAGAAGATCAAGATTTTGGCTTGAATGGTGAAAGCAACCTGGATCTTCAGTATTCCATGCCCTTTGTTCACCCCCTTAATGTTGAGTGCTTTGTTACTTTGTATCCCCTTCCGTTCTGTGAAATTTACTCGCCTTCATTTTCAGGTTTCGCTATACCAAATCGGAGATACCGACATGGGTGGTAGCTTCAACAACTTGTAAGTTTTGTTCAAGATTCGAAACTTGAATTTACGTTCAATCTGATGTTGATGTATGATCCAATCACATTCAGCCTCGATGCACTCGATTCTAGCTACTGTGAAGGTCATTTGGATCCGTTACAGGACGGCGTATACCCAAATCCACGAGGATATAATCATCGAGATTGTGGTACAGTGAAGCCTGCCAACATAATATCAATTTCATACGGTAAGTTAAACCCGATCTAGTATTCCAATCCAGGTCTGATGTTCTGGTATCTCAAATAGGCATGAACGAAGCGGATGCAACCCACGCATATTTGACACGTCAATGTAATGAATACGGAAAGCTGGGATTGATGGGGGTTACCTTTATCTTTTCATCTGGGTAAGTCTTTCTCGAACACACCATAAGTATACATAATTTCATCCTCATGAGATATGATCTCTCCTTCTACCAGTGACAACGGAGTAGCTGGAAACCGTGGCATATGTTTGAATCGAGACGGGACTCAAAGTGAGAATGGACCAGTAAGCTTTTTGCTATGTTTGAAGAATCCGATGAGAACGTAATAGCCTGATAACTTTGGAATTGAAATCTTCTATTCAGCTATTCAATCCATCCTTCCCAGGTACTTGTCCATACGTCACCAGTATTGGTGCAACTCAACTCCCGGCTGGAAAGACTGTAAACGACTCAGAGGCAGCATGTTACACTCGTATTCGTAGTGGCGGAGGTTTTAGTAATTTGTTCAAATTACCTCAATACCAATCAAGAGTCATGAAGACTTATTTCAAAAGACATCCTCCACCTTACAATCACAATACGTTTAACGCATCAAGATCTACTCGAGGTTTTCCAGACATCAGCGCCAATGGAGCAAACTAGTGGGTAGTCATTTCAAGCTCCTTCCATAACGGGTGTATAAAGCACGAAGCTTACATGCGAGTTGTCATCTCTCAACATGCTCTTTTGAACAATTTTCTCGGCCTAAACAGCGTGGTAGCAGTTGTAGGACGATTTGGTTTGGTGTATGGTACTTCTGCATCTGCACCGGTGGTCGCTTCGATCTTGACTATGATCAATGATGCGAGAATGGCGCGTGGAAAGAAAGTGTGTACTCTGAAACTCGCCTTTTCCAATTACACTACATCGCGCTGATAATGATTGCTTTCTTTTAGACAATCGGGTTCATCAACCCTACTCTTTATTCAGCGCGTTTTCAGGAAGCATTCAATGATATCACGTGAGTCAAGCAGATCATTTATCCCATAACCACGTTCAGATAATGAAAAAATCTTCTTGGTTACTTAGAAATGGCTCGAATCCTGGATGCGGCACAGATGGATTCTCTGCTGTTCCTGTGAGTGTTTTTTCCGATCTGCTTTTCATCGATTCAGATAAATCAAAATTGATTTTTATGGATTTCTTCATTTCTAGGGATGGGATCCTGTCACAGGTCAGTATCTTTTCAACCACATTAAAACACTTGTCACTAACTTTGATCTGTACGCGTTTGACTTTATTTTAGGATTGGGTACATTGGACTTCTCCAAATTGCTTCCACTATGGACAAAGCTCCGTTAAGCATTTCGATCAAGCATAACTTGTCTGATTCAAATTCCAGTTGAATTCTGTAGATTTCCTCAATGCACTCTTTTAGAATCTTTCATGTAGAAGTGACACATTGTCATCATGTAGCTATACCACTTATAAATACCACAGGACAATACAATAAACTAAATCATGTAGGCAATATACTAAAATGATATACATCTCTTCGAAGTGAAAAGAGTCATGACAAAAACACTGCATGCGTTGCGATGACCTTTCCCAGATTTGAGATCGGCTCGTGGTAGTCACACACAAGAAGAATCCACATCATTATTTAGGTTACTGACTGCGTTTAGAACACTTTTGGTATGCCACCTTGGAACAAAGTAATCGTGCCATAAGGTTGATAATTAATATACTAGATCAAGAGTTTGCCTAGGTAATAAGCTTTTTAGAGAGACACTCAAATTCATTTGATATAAGTGCTAAGCCCGAGTTCTACAAAACGGCGCGCAAATTATGAGATTTGCCTATAAAAAGTATGACAAAATATCAATATATATATATATTACTAAGCAGCTTGAGACATTAAATAAAATTTAAATCAGATCTATACAAGATTTTTAAATATATATAATTCATACAAAAAGAAAGAGATCTTAAAATGAAAAGTTCAATTACCATCCCAAATCTCTACTACAGCTTTTCCAAAGTTTTGACCTTTAAAGATTCCAATCAAACTACCAATCGCATTCTTTAATCCTTTAGTTACATCTTCTTTTGATTTGATTTCTCCTTTAACCAACCATTGAGGTACGGATCCGTAAAACTTAGGAGCCGTAGGTTTCCAACATTCAGGGTTGATGATGATAAAGCCTTGCATCTTGATGGATTTTCCAACCGTTAACATGATGTTCTTGATTCCATAAGGTTCACCAGAAACGTTGTATTGAGATATCATCTGAGGAAGCAATTCATGAAAGCATTTCAATATCTATTTATCAGAATACTGAAAAGTTTTTAAGAATAGAAATGACTTACCCCACAAGCGATGATTCTGGCACGAACAGCTGCCACCAAAAAGAAATCATCGAGGGTTTCACCTCCTACATTATCCCAATAAATATCAATCGGTTCAAACTTTTTCAATTCTTCAAGATTATTACAAGTTTTATAATTAAACGCATGATCGAATTTGAGTTCGTTCTTTAAATATTCTACTTTCTCATCCGAACCACAAGATCCAATGACTTTTAAACCTTCTCGCTTGGCTAATTGAGCCACAATTTGACCTACTGCACCTGATGCGGCTGATATCTATTACGAAATTCATAAAGATGGTCAATATGTTGTATGAAAGGTGAAGTGAGTTTTATTTTCCCAATGACTTACAAAGATCGTTTCACCTTTCTTTGGTTGACCGATTTCATAAAACCCATAATAAGCCGTCATTCCAGGCATTCCAGCTGCACCAGTCCATTTCTCAATAGGTAAACCAATCTTTTGATCAATCACTCGAGTAGCCACATCATCTAAACCTTTCTTAGAGATAATAGTGTATTCTTCAAACCCAGTCGAGTTTGAAAAGATCTCATCACCCACTTTGAATCGATCATCATTCGATCGAATCACTTTTCCAACCCCATAGTTTGTGATAGGTGAATTGAGTTTGAAAGGTGCGCTATAGGACTCAACCTCGGGAGCTCGCATACGACCTCGTTGGTAAGGATCAATAGATACTACTCTGTTTCTGACTAACACACCGTCTTTGATATCGACATTCTCAACATCGATCTCGTTAGACTCGGAGTAGACTAGATGTTGACCTTCGACAGGATAACCACCAGTAGGAGGAGATTGAAAGATCACAGCACGGTTTTTGACGACAGGCATGATTGATTTGTATGATTTGAAGTATGAATGAGATTGTGAAGATAGGAGATGCAATAGCTTCAACCTTCAGAGTAAGATGGTGATATATATAATGTAGGTGTAGTGAGTTGGTTGATGAGTAATCGATTATTTGAGACTGCAGACTTGAGAATCACTTATAGTAGCAGATCGATCAGATCTGACTAATCATATTGCCTTTTTATCATGACATCACTTAATCTACCGTTAGCCGAACTCGTAGCCTATAGTAGGTGCTTTCAAACTAGGAAAAAGTCGAAATGTTCACGAGAAAAATCGTCAACTGTGTAATTACAATACATCTGATACAAGACTGTAGTGCAATCATAGTTTTTCATTACATGCTTTTTTGCTCCTTCAAAATTGTGAAGCCCTACGAGGAAGGAGGAGGGAGGCCCCCTCCAAATACAAAGTTGAACTTTGTGATTGCACTACAGCGCTATATCAGATCTATAATATAAAGGCACAAGGCCTAACAACCAAGCATTGTTGCATCTGCCGTGCCTGATGCCCAAGCATCGTTGCATTTGCCGTGCCCGCCCCGAACTTCACTCAGTGCATGACCTAACTCGCCTCGGACAGAGCAACCATCAGCTCGCCTCGCGGCTCAGGATGAGCCCCGTCTCCGGCGGAGTCGGGGATCTCCGGTACACCGAACCGCCGGTACGGTAGTCGGGCAAAGACTGTATAGTCCCCGACCCCGATCCGACTCCGTAGGATCGGAAGCCGGGCTGGGGTAGGCAGATCCCCGATTTTTCTCGGAGAACCGGCACCCGGTAGGTTGATTATACACAATTGATATATTCATTTATAGAGAGCTAGAATAGATACAGTAAGTAAACTAATAACAATATTTAAACAGAGTATATAATAAACGAGGTCGGCATGAAACAATCGATGTGATCGATCAGTAGAAAACTTTAAGTACAGATAAAAGATGAATCATGAATAGTGTTTAAGGAGAGTTAAGAAAGTGAGTTTGAAAAATCAAGAAACTTGTGATTGATCGGTCCAAAAGGTGAGGGATAGATGAAAGATGATCAATCAATGATAGCAATGGGTTCAGCCTGGCAACCGGGCAATACAAATAGCGGACCAAAAACACGATACCATTCCTTGAGGCACAGAAGTGCTTCTACACTCAAATCCGAGAGTTTACTCCTTTGAGGTGTCAGAATGACCTTGGTCTTTGAAAAGGCACCTTCGGAGGGAGCACTGGTAGCAGGAATGGCCAAGTACTTCATGGCCATCTGACTCAAAATTGGATAGCTTTTGACCTTGCTTTTCCAATAGAGCAGAATGTCGGCATCGGCAGGTTCAACTAAATCGCTTAAATAACGGCTGAGTTCGCTCTCAAACGAAGCCGGTCCAATGGTTGTCCCATAGATCTCGGCCCCAAAGTAAGATTGACTCGTGGTTTTCGAGGCTTGGTGTGCAACTTCATTCGGAGATTCAAACTTCAAGGCTTCGGAGCAGAACATGTCTTTCAATTTTGCCGGGGATGTGTCATAACGATCTAAAACCTCAGATTTGGCCTATCATATAAGAACGAGAGATAAAACATATAACAATGTCAGTTATACATCAAATGGGGAGAGTTCATTGGTTGAGAAATGAGAAGTCACACCTCAAAGAATGACATCTTGAGTCGTGGATCCAAGATAGTTGCACATACCGCACCGGGTTTGAGTAGAACATTCTTGAAATAAGTCTCAAGCTTCTCTATCATCACTCGAGCAGCGGGAATCAAGTGGTCATTGTCATAAGTTGATATAACCTAAATACACATGATTGAATAAAAAAACTCTTGTAAGTTTCAAATCATCACAAGTGAAGTATCAAGTTTGAAGACTTATGTTGTTCAATCGACCCATTACGGCAATGTAGATTGGTATTACAGTGTGGAGTGTAGGAAATCGTGATCGGCAAAGCTCATTGGTGGCTTTGGACAGTGGTTCTAAAAAATTACACATCTGCTCAACGTAAGTCCACTCAACATCAGTCAGCTGAAACTTCGTAGCACCAGGACGTTCACAGAATTGCTGGACAGCTTTGCGGAGGCGGAGTAGGCGTTGGAACATGAGAAAAGTGGAGTTCCAGCGAGTTTCAACATCGGGGATCAGAGCTACAGCAGTTCCTTGTGAGATCGGGTCAATTTCATCTACATTCTCAGTTGGTTTGGGAGCCAGGAATTGGAGAGCAGTGTTGACTTTGGTTTCATCGGTTGGGTCAGCTGGATCAGTTGAATCTAAAGAAATACTTCGTAGTAGCTTCACAATCTTCGAAAAAGCCTCCGATCTCTGAGGACTGCTACGGACCCAGACTACAAGTCCGTGACATCTTGACCTGATAGTCGAAAGGTTTGCTGTACTTGAATCGGATCGATCGACTAGGTTGGCTAGATCCATTGGTCCACTCGAAGCATCTGAGGGATTGACTAATGCATCTTCAACCACACCAAAGGCGTCAAGGCCTTTGTGAGCAGCAAGATTTATTACATGTGCAACACAACCAAAGAGAGACTCGATAGGATTGAAGTTCTTGATTTCAGGAGACTCGTGAATGAGTTTGGCTATCTTCCCATTCTTGTTTTCATTGTCAGCGGTAATGGTTGAGAGTGAATCAACAATGTTATACTTGATCAAGTATTTTACAAATAGATCAGCATAATTCAAAGCCACATGTTGTCCTAAAAGGTAAGGGAATATGTGAGCTTGATAGGTATGTTGGGGAGAAGCAGAGAGGGCTTGGAAAGAACTGACCTGAAACACGGGGAATGCCAATGGTCAACGATTTAAGCTCAAAATTGTCGGTGATGAAATGTGCTGTGATTGACATGTAAGCACGTTGATTTGGAGACGTCCAACCATCTTGTGTGAAAGAAATATACTTTGCTTTGTTAAATACATTATTCTTGATATAGTTCTGAAAGAATTGAAACATCGAAATCGTGTGTCTGGCTGTGGTGTGTCGTTTGACAATCATTCCTGCTGTCTGAGGATTGCAAAGCTTCAACAGATGCTTGAAAGATTGACGATTTATCAAAGCAAAAGGAAGATCCGCTTCAGCAATGAAATAGGAAATTGCCGTTTTGAGAGTTTCAGTGTTCAGTGCAAGCTGTTCAAAACAAACACTCAGCAAAGTTACAAGCTTGGTCAAGGTTGAATTCATTGGGTCATAAATGCTTACTACATGCTGAGTCTTGATCCTCTTGAACGAGCCTTCCAATGAAGTTTGATTTGACTGCTCCGCCAGCTCAGGATTATACAATCCATGAAGTCGCTGGAGATGATCCGACATGGCCTTTGTACTAGAAGTCTTGTCGCGGGCAAGCGCCTTTCCACAAACTTTACCACTAGATAGAACTACTGAACAAACTGTTTTATCTCCATGAATCGTGAAATGGCACCAGACATATGAGGACTTGCCACGTTTTGCTATGGTGTCTTCACTACCAACTTGAGATGATGAGCAAGAAGAGTTTGAAGCCATGTATAAAATAAAAGTGGTGTTATTGTACTAGTAAGGATAATGCGATAAAAGTCAATGTTTGAAAGGTGACAGATTCAAGAGCAATAAAAAAACAAAAAAAGAACAACTCAAGGAGCTGTAGATTAACACCTTAATATATGAAGATGTGTTGTAACTAATAAGGAGAATATAATAAAAAGGAATATTTGAACGGTAAAAGTTATGAGAGCAGTAAAAAAGAAGATATATGACAACTCAGGGTTTAATTTATGAAGATAATAAAGTTGGCTAGCAAGATGGATCCGATGGGGCAAGAGTCTAAAGAGCAGCAGCTTCCTTTTATGGGCTGGATTTAATCACATTACTTGTGAGAATAGCATCCGCACTAATAATTTTACAGCAATGGGCACAGGGCACTTCACCAAATAATCTTCCAATGTGAAGTTATGTCCAATAGAGTCTGGAATGATTGGTGATCCAAACATATAACTTACTTTCATGTGCTTGATTTGTGCATGTTGCTGCTTTCAGAAGTGGCTCAGCTTCATCGAGAACTCGCGGAGATTCAGCGGAAAACCGGATTATCGGTGGGAAACCGATTTTCCGGTGGCGGGGGTCGGGCTGGGGGTTTTGATATTAATCTCCGCCGGGGCGGGGTCGGCTCGGAAGCCGGGCTTCCTTTTTGCTTTTTACTCGGGGGGTCGGTCTGGGCGGTCTCCGTTCCCGACAAGCCGGGGCTCATCCTGACTCGCGGCCTACCACTGCGACACCCCAACTACAGGCCTCACCTCGCTCAATCTATCAACCAACAGACATTCCGTGTCAGCGCGGCCCTAAATGTTTCCAAACCCATTCAGCGATACTCAATCCATCTCCTGCGCCCGATTTTTTCTGCTAATCTATTATGTTAGTCGTTTTGAACCCGTGTCACCGCCATGCTAGCTGTGGCCCAACACCCCCAGCCACATCCAATCGACCTCAACCGGTCGTGAACTCTCACCCAATACACGATATTACCAGTCATCATAATATTCAACTCAAATCACGGCGAGGAGGGACCACTCACGGACTTTTGCACTGAAACCGTCCCTTTGTCAACAAACTAAACCAGCGCAGCCATCATGTGGACCATTCGGACTCGACCCAGGTCAACTCACTCAGTCTTGCATGGGCTCACATGACCTCGCGATGCAGTCCACACCTGAGGTTGGTAGCCTTCTCAACGACACATATACATATATAGACGTCAAGTCTAATACATCAATGCCACCAACGTATCGACTCAATTCAGCTGCTCTTTCAATACTTCAAACTACCTTCTGGATAAAAAGTTACCTTACGCTGTCATACCCATGCAATCCCACTTGCCTGCCGAGCTACCTCTACGCTTCAGCTGCATCTTTTGGACCAGAAACCAAGTGTGTAAATCTCTCTGCACTTTTGCTATCAAACTGACTCGCTTTATAAGGTCCATATGCCTCAGCTTCCTCCCAATCCCAAATACAAATATTTCCAGACCGATGTCGTCTTCAACCGAGGTACGCTTACAGGCGCTGGATTATTGATCGCGGCGAAACACTGCAACACACAGATCCGTCATAATCATGCCTACAAGTTGGAAGGTCCAGTCTCAGCTGGATGTGACACAGTTTCGACCATTTTTGAAGAAGCAGAAAACACAATTGTCATTGATTCTGCTGAAGTCCGCCTTCATCCGCTGCTTAACAAGGTCTCAGCCCAGGGTGTGGGCCAAATTCTTGAGTGGTCTCTCCGACGGGTTCACAACCAGCGTACGGCAATTGAAGTTATTAAAGTCCTACATCGAGGTCGAGATGCAACAGTAAGTTTGCACTGTCCCTCTGCTTCTAGGATCGGTCTGATGCTGATTAACCTGTATCAGGGCAAGAGACAGGTCTAATTTGTTTCGAATTACTTGATTGGGACTAGCATCAGCTCGAGTCTAACATTGGACGATCTTTCAGTCGGAAATGTGATCGCCCTCCGGGGCAATGTGGTGGGTCACGATTCAAGGGATAACGCGTGGGAGATTAACGTAAGTCTTACTACTTTCCACCACCGCCATCTTCGATGCTGACTGTTCAAAATAGACCACGGAAATTTTTATGATACAGACCCCGTCTCATCCTAGGAGAAGCAGGCGGTTGCGAGGCATGGGCCCTGTTGCTAATTAAGACGGCTTGATACTGGCATATACCGTTTTATTCTCGCCCCGAACCGTCCTCCTATAAACCCCCCTTACGTGTACATATTACTTCCAAGTTTGTGTAATTAATTAGCAACGATCAACTCATGTTCACGCTCAAACTTCACCACTGTGTAGAAAACCATCTTGCCATTTTAAACATTATCTTTTTCGATTGATCCCACCTCCCGCGCTGTTTCCATGCCGAGAAAACAGGGTCAAACGCCCCTAGCCAAATTGAACCTATCTCTATGCGGGCAGGCCATCAGGAATGCCCAATGGGAATCAAACGTTTCGCAAGGACGCTCTCTTTATCAAATTCATCTCAGCCACAACCCTACCTACGTTCGATTTCGAGGTCCCAGCTCGGGCCCTTCAGGGCCAACGGGTCACCGAGAAGTCAGTAACTTTAGTGTCCTCATTGACCTTTCAGTTCTACAACTTTGACGCCCACTAACGTCGCAGCGCGATTGCCGACCGCATATCAGATCAGGATCCATCGGGACAAGCAATGAAGGGAGGAAATCGATTTGACCGGACGCAATGATTGGTCGGGCAAGCGTGCGTGGGCCTGCCACCTTGCCCTGGCGGCGTATTTCCCCCACCATGGGCCGGCAATCAAAGGGTAATCCCAGTCCTCATTAGAATTCGCCGTTGTAATTCTACCGTCCTGACATTATTTGAAAAACGTCTGATAGCGTGCCAATTCTAAGGACAAACCATCGGACCCACTGTAGATGAAAACCACATGAACAAAGCCGAGAACCGTCCCTTGCGATCTCGACAATCGACTGCGAACGAAGGAATCAGTGCTGATTCAAATTTGGTCTGGAGACAGGCTGACAGCCTCAATCGGAAATTCCGACAAGGTCTGCTATGTCACTTACTCGACATTCGCTTCCTGCAGCCAGCTTTGCAAGGATTTTCCGCGCAGAAGACCTATATAAAGGCCTTGGGCGGTCTTTATTTCATCAACAGTCCACGCCGACCTTCTCTGCATAACATAACAACTTCAAAGAACCTGATCTGAACTACAACGCTTTCTCATCGCTTTTTGGATTACATTTGAATTTGTTTCTTTATCTCTTCTTCGACCACTTTCACAACCAAAGGTGATGTCGTCAGCTAACGCCCCATCTAAAAAATCACATCCATTCAACATCTCAGGTGTCGTCGAGGTATCAGAAATTGTACGTGAAACTTCCCAATACGTTCAAGGCTGATACTGATACAACATCACAGCTTCCGCCTCTCAACGACTTAAGCTACACGTGGAGAAACTCCACAGTCTCCATAACTTGCAATGGCTTGGATGACGCGAACGAACGTGAATACGATGGCATCCTTACTGGCTACTCTGCAACGGAGCACGAAGTCGAGGATGAACACTGTTATACAATCAAAGGCCGCATGATCCCATCATCCGAATGTGCCGATTTTCAAATCTACTTCGACCCGATTCATAAGATAGATTCGGGCCCATTGGATACTTTTGTAGGAAGGCTCCATGACAATACCGCGGCGTCTGGATTTGGCATAGTAGGAGCGAAGACGGAGGTGCCTGACCTGAACTCCGACTCGGCGATTTTGGTCTTTGTCATGAAACACACTGATTACAGACCTGAGGTAACAACGCCTGCTTCGTGCCCTACCTAGACTTGGCTGACTCATTTGTTCCGCGACGCAGGACAAGTCCACACACGAATTTGAGGTTGAATATCGCATGCGGCCCACACCCAACTTGAAAAAGACCCAAGCTTTGATTCAAGAAGGCAAGGAAACTTTGGTTCATGGTTACATCGTGGACTGGAGCGAAGCGCACAATCGCTGGGTTGTGGATGCAAGTGTTCACCATCTGTCAAGTATATGGCTGCGTTGATACACCTCACTAACGTGCCTTAACATTGCCCTTAGGTCACAGGCATCAACATTGCGAGCGGGCATCAATCTGTAACAAAGAAGAAAGCCACGACCAGTTCTCAGGTTACCGCGACAGGCCGGGTGAAACCAGCTAAGTGAGTCAATTTCATATCCTCTTTTAACTCAGCTGATGTATGAGTTCCTCAGACATAACAGCACCCCAACTAAACCGGCTCAAGTCACGCCTAAGAAACGAGCCGCGCCAGCAGCCAAGAGCAAAGCGCGTGCTGCTGCCCCCGCCGCAGCGAATGATGGATTCGACGAAGGATTTGAGGAGGCTGACCAACCGGAAGAACCAGTTGTGCCTCCTGTTAAAAAGCGAGCCCCGACTGCCGCTAAAGGCAAGGCGCGTGCCGCCGCTGTTTGCGAACCGGAAGAGGAACTCGAGGACGGGATGTTTGAGGCTGAGTTCGACGATGCATTTGAACCACCCACTCAGGGAACAAGCACCGGCCGTGGAACCAAAGCTGGCCGAGTGCCCAGACGTCCTCGCGGAGCGTGAATTGGGATGGGGGGTTATTTGGTGTCGTACCTATCGTGATCAGCCATTTTTGTCGATTCTATTTCCACTCCTGGCCCAAGTCGGACTGGCTCGGTCGCTTGGGCCGTTATCTGTTTGTTCCAATTGCAATTGAATTTCATCGTGCCGTGAGTTATCCCAAGGCTCTAACAGGCCATTCAACATTGCGCCCACAAGACGTGTGCTCCCTTTCGACTGAAACATCCCCAGCGAGAAAATGCTGGCTGCCTCGCTGAAATGATCAATCAGGATATCGTGGCCTGAAAGAGGTTCATACATTGTCAAAATTCAAAGCGCCACTGCAACGGAACGATTTATATCTTTTTTAACATTCAATCTTGCCTTCTGCCAGGACACACCTTCCGATATTAGCCTCACATTCTTCGCGCAGTGACAACCTGCTCCAGTTGTATTTCACAAGACCGTACTCGCTTCCGCACGATTCAAGACGATAACTGCAAACCAGAATTTCTCGCCAACACGTATGGCGTCGTTATACCCAGCAGCCTCGATTGGCCCTGCGGCTCGCACCCGATCTGACTTGGCAGAGCTGAGCTTAGCAGCCAGGTTTCCGGGGGAAATGCCGCTCGACATCGGAGACTGTGACGATCCATGCGTCGCCTGTGGCGCGTTACATTGGCGAGCCGAGCGCACTCAGGACGACTGGAAAGCAGAACACGCCTCCTACTCATCATGCTGCCAGAAGAGAGCGGTGGCCTTGCCAAGCAATGGCTTAGAAAATAAGCTTGCACCTCAATTTGTCCAGGATTTACTCACAGGGAGTGACTCAGGTACGATCTTTCACTTTCCGCGTTGATACAATGCTAAGCCTGCATTGCTCGATAGATTCAAAGCATTTCAGAAAACATATTCGAGCGTACAACAACTCTCTGTCCTTTACTTCGAATGGAGTGGAAACGGACAAGTCTGTCGCGGGAAATGGAGGGACTTGGACGTATCGAATCTTTGGGCAACTTAGCCATAACATCGGAGCCCTCTTGCCTCCGGAAGGCGCGCCTAGAAAGTTTGCGCAGATTTTCATGGGCGGTGACCAAGCCGAGGGAGAAGCTGCAGCTCGATCGAAGGCTGCGGGCGGAGGACTGAGACCAGCTATCCTGAAAAGATTCCAGCGATTTTTGTATGCCAAAAACCCATTTGCAAAATTATACAAATCGGCCGAAGAAGTCGCGAATGGCACAGAGCTCAAGACAATCAAAATCAAATCCCTTGCTGTTGGTAACCGAGACAGAAATCGGTACAACTTTCCGACGTGTAATCAAGTGGCGGCGATAATTCAAGGCGACGGCGAGGTAGGGTCAACGGACCGTGACATCATCTTGCACCGCCAAAGTGGGCTATTGCGACGGATATCTGAACTGAATACGACATACTTCGCCTTGAGGTATCCCATTTTGTTTATGTATGGGTCCCACGGTTGGGACAAACATTACCGTAATCCCGCCTCTAGGCGTAAGTTGTTCTATCTTTTCAGGAGTGGTTTCGAGAAGATTACAAATTGACAGTCTGTGGTATTCAATAGGACCAACGGGAAAAATCAGCCGTTCGGAGCATTGCGCCTATCAACTGTTCGAGCGCTCAGACAAATTCTCTGCAATCCTTCGAGGGGGACGTCTGTTGCAAGAATATGCGGTGGATATGTACATTTGTGTTGAAAATGCAAGGTTGAAATACTTCCGTCTCAATCAGCCAAAGTTGCGTGCGGAATTGTACAACGGGGCGGCTGAAGGCCTTCACAACAACGATTTCGCCATCGGACGAAACATTATCTTGCCTTCGTCTTTTGTGGGAGGAGCAAGAGCGATGCACGAACTCTATCATGATGCTATGTCATTGGTTAAGCGGTTTGGCCACCCAAGTCTTTTCATCACGATGACGGGAAACCCGCATTGGCCAGAGGTCACTCGCGCTTTACTGCCTGGCCAAAAAGCTGAAGACCGTCCTGATCTTCTCGCGAGGGTGTTCTATCTGAAGTTGCAAGAGATGCACAAGGATGTGAGGAAGCGCGGGCGCTTGGGGAATTGCATTTCTGATGTACACACAGTCGAGTTCCAAAAACGAGGTGCACCTCATGCGCATACTATTCTAATCAACGACGGAATGACCACACCACGGACACCGGAGGAAGTCGACCTCATTGTGTCAGCAACAATCCCCGATCCCGAGGAAGATCCTATCTTATATGAGTTGGTCGTGCAATCAATGGTTCACGGCCCATGCGACAAGAGCAAGTCGTGTTGGAACGGCACCAAATGCAAATACGGCTATCCGCAAACGTTCAGTCCTGTTACAGCGATGACCGAAAGGTCCTATCCTCAGTATAAACGGCCAGATGATGGTCGAAGCTTTGTCAAAAATGGAGTTACTTACACGAATCGCGACATCGTTCCGTATAATCGATTCTTATTGCTCAAGTACCGATGCCACATCAACGTGGAAATCGCAACCAGTATGAAATCAGTAAAGTATCTTTATAAGTACATAGCAAAGGGTCATGATAGGCAGGCATTAGCAATGGAGAAGGAGGATGAAGTCACTGAGTACGTCGATGGTCGGTACTTGGCAGCCCCAGAAGGTGTGTGCTTTCTTGCAATGAATTTAAGGGTTTCAGCTGACATGTCCTTATAGCAATAGTCCGGTTGTTACAGATGCCTCTTTCTGGAAATCACCCGGCTGTTAATCGGCTCGCGCTCCACGACAAATACACAAATATGGTCTATTTTCGCAATAATGAGGCTCTGAGAGCTGCGATTGATTCAGGCAGAGCCAAGAGAACAACTTTATCAGAATTTTTCCGGATGGCCAGTGCAAATGAATTAGTGGAGAGGACTACTTTTACGGTCCGAACTTTGCTATACACTGAAATGACGGATTACTACTGGTGGAATAAGAGCGAGAAACGTTGGGCTCGGAGGCAAAAAAATATTCGTTCAATAAGTCGGCTGTATTTCGCGAAGCCAGGCCATGGGGACAGACAACGTCGAAACCGCTGCGCTACGCACAGCAATATCAGGGGTACTGGATAGTGGTGTGAAGTACCACTATCCTGAGGACACGCTACGCACCACTATCTCGGAGGACCCGCTATGACATTTATGTAGTGGCGTGGGTAAGTCACTACCGGCCACTACAATATTTGCGCACTATCGCTACGATAGCGCACACAGTTTATGTTAAGTATGAACATAGAATTTTATTAAAAGTCATATAAAGAATATCTGGCAAACATATACAAGAATCATTAAAAAGCTGAGTAAGAGAGTAGACGAATAGGAAAAAAAGAAAAAACAAAATGTATTAAGGATAGTTTAGAAGTAGAAGGGGATCTAAATGAATGAGATAAAAAATGAGACTGTGAGTGAATGTAGGAAAAAAACAAAGCCAAACTGATTCAAAGAGAGTAAAGAAACAAAAGATCGAGTCAGACTGAAAGAGAGAGGATATAATAATAAGAAAAAAAGAAAGATCGATTCATCTTCTGTCCATCTTTTCCACCAAGGCAAAAGCCTCAGAAAACTCGCCAGGAACCTTTATCCCCGCCCTAAGCCACTCCCGAGAAGAAGCACATCGCTCGATGGTACGGCTACTCATAGCCGATCGATCAGACCCACACACGTCAGCTGCACCTGAAAAACATCGTTCACATGAACAAGTTGTTCCTGAACATGCCAGAAAGTCACGAGCCATGATCGAAAGGACCGGGAATGCCCCTGAATTGTCCTAAAACAGAAGAGGTCATTAGAAACTTTGAGTATGATGAAAATGAAACAAAAACATACCTTCCACCACGATAAAAGTGTGCCAGCAGTGAGTGGGAATTTCCCTGACATATAACCCTCATACTCTTGCTCGGTATCATCATTAGGTCCGGATGCGTTTGAAGCAAAGACATTATACTCATTGTCGGTGACAGTAGTATCTTGCTGATTAGATATGACGAGTGCAGATGGGTGACTGGCTTGGTATTTAGTTGAATAAGAGTCCATTTCGCGCTCCATAACTCTTTGAACATGAGCAACTTGTGTTGGATGATGAAGTTCGAAGAACTTCATTCTGAGACGAGGGTTGAGGACAGTGGCAATGACGATCGCGTCACATTGAAGAGCCTCTGATTCGTATGATTGAAGGCGATTAACCATGCTAGTAATCATGGTTTGGAGACTGGCGTAAGGAGTATGTAAGCCGAGTTTTTCCAGTGAACTTCGGACACGGTGATAGTCAAGTAGAAGAATGGCTGCTGTCGAGTGGTCACCCTCCACTCTGGATGTGGCTAATACAATAACCTGGTCAAGTCATTAGGTCTCAGTAAATGAGTATGATACATAATTGAAAGAAATGAGACAGTTTAGAACTATACTAACTTCCATAACCTCATTCAAAGCTGAAGCGCATAACCATTCACTCTTTGATATCGATATTTTGTCAAAATAACCTTCTTCATCATTTGCCAACATCTGATTGATAACCTGAAAGCAAGAGGCATTCTCAGTAAAATTCAAAGTTAGACGGAGATCATGAAACAAAACTAACCTCAGCTCCATCAACCATGATTGATTGGCTCTGATGTAGACCATTCCATTTGCTGGACGCACCAAGAATGGGACAACGCAAGGTCCTACCCAAATCCTTAGCACGATTACGGAATTCAAGACGTCGAGAAGGCCGCCGGGCAATGAGGCGGCTCACACGATCAATCTACACACATCAAGGTCAGCGTTGAAGATCAGGAAGTGATTTAGTAAAAAATAGAAGAATAAGGTGAAATAAATGTACCTTCTTGATTGCCTGAACCACCAGATCAGGCCTGGCTCTGCTTGATCCAGGCAAGACACTAGAGGGGTGAGATGATTGTAGAACATTACTATCAGATTCACTACCAGAATCACCGTTGCAAACGTCTGCTTTGCTAGCACGATCAGCATCTTGGTCAACATCTGAATCTTCGTCGTCTTCGGCTTCAAATTGATCATTTCCATCATTTAATGTAATCGAGGGGGTAGGGATGTTGAATAAAGGTTGGGTGGTTGGCTTTGTGTGGCCAGTATCGATTCCAATTGAAGCTAGACCGTGCTTCACAAGTAAGGCAAGCTTGTGGGCGTAGCAGCGGATCTGCATGCGACAAGCTGGCCAATCAACGCTAGGGGAAGCCTCCAAAAACATACTCTGCAATTCGTAAGCAAGCGTGGCATTGTTTGAGCCCGAATCTGTGGTTTGGGCTAACATGTAGTTAAATCAAAAAAAAAATTAGATTGAAGTTGAAAACATGAGATGCAAAGTGAAAATAAAAACTCATCTTATGGTGAAGGCCATGTTTGACGAGGTACCGACCAACAGGTTGAGCAAGCAAGACACCTGAATGGTTCCATGCAGCAAGTTTAAGACTAAGATGAATGGTCCGGAACTCCCACTGATCGTCGATGAATGTGACATTCATTCCAATGAATGCATACCGGCTCCGACGGGTGGTCCAGCCATCATGGATGAGGCAGAACTTACTCGAGTTGTTCTAAATTGAGATGAGGAGTTAGAAAAGTTGGAATCATGATCATTAGCATTGAAAACTTACCTTTATGGTTTCTAGAACCGTCTGTTGCAACCCATGGTGAAGACGCTTGGCAGCGTTTGCAGCCCATACCGCTGATCGAAGAGTCGCCGATACGTTTGACAATCGAAAGGCAGCTCGCAAGGGGGAATCCTGAATTCGAGCCCATGGCAGAGCTTGTCAAATCACCCAGATAACACAAATGAGATTAAGAAGTTCAACGCTGAACCTGTCCTTTGAAACAAAAGAGTCGAGAGTGGCCAAAGATTTTGCCTCCAATGCTTGTTGCTGCTCCGCCCAGGAGGGTGGAAGATCAACACCTGCCGCTATCGCTTGAGCTCGCCTGGGGCAAGCTGGCCGTCCTTTGCTCCCATCTCGATGTCCGTAAAGATTATAATAGCTGGTCATACCTTTGAGAAAACGGCCTCGGCACCACCGGCACTTGTAGAGTCGTGGATCACCAGAGGTCTGAAAAACAATAAAGTTCATAGTTAGATTCCAATTTGTTATACAAAAAAGTAGAAAACCCACCTGGCCATTTGGATAAATTGGAGAATGAAAATACTTCAGAAGCTCCTTAACTCGAGCAAGTTGAGATGCCCTGATACCAGTCCGTGGTCTGCTGGGTATGATTTCATTTTCTGAGTCTTGATCAAGATCAATACAGTCGGGCACTGTCTCCTTCTACAAATGGATAGATAAAACAAGATTAATACAAGCCTGTTCAAGTAAACAATCTGGATAATGTGATGAATATACTCACAGATGCCTTTTTTCTTTTTTTGCCAACATTTTGATCTGACTGACAATTGGCTTGCTTCTTGGTTAAAGGTGATGGAGGTTGGAACGCTTCTTGATCTTCTTCAGAATTTGCGAGAAAGAGTCCATCGATTGGAGCAAACAGAGTGTTAGTGCTGGAGGGACCGGGAGTTGGAGAACGAGTTGGTGACACAAGCTGAAGAGACCTTCAAGAGTCCACT